GATCATGGACCCAGGATCTCAAGACACTCCTCCCATGATGCTTTGGACGCATAAACTTGACATTGATTTGCTGGGGCTTCTGGGAAGGGTGCTCTTATGTGTTCTCAATTGAATGTGCGTTTCTAGGGAACAATCTGGAGACTTATCAGATCAATAAAGGGACTAGCAAAGAAAAGCAGGTTATAATCACCATGTGCTCATAAAGTATAATTATGAAAAGTTTGAGTTATCACTTCTCCCAATGGGCCTTGGGCAGCTAGATTTTTTTAAATGGAGAATTTGCAATAATGAGGTTACAATGTTTACTAATACCATAAAGTGGCTTACTTCAATATATATCCATTAAGTATTTAAAACACTTTCTGTAAAAATTTTATTTCATTCCCAACCATCTGGAATTAGCACCATCATGGATGGGGGATGCATATAAATTTAACAATTGACAAACGATCTGCTTTCTCAGATGTTCAAATATTCCTCCTGTGTTGTGTATAGAAATACAATTCTGTAGTTTGTTCTCTTTGTGTAAAATAATTCTCAGCGATATCACTATGTCTCATGTGCCACTGATTAAATCTTGAATATTCGTGCAGGCCTTTAGAAACCCTCTGCTGCTATGCTCCAACCTAATACTAAGAAATGAGTTTGAGCTCTCCTTTAGGGAGGAGGAATAACTGCCAATTAAATCAAAGCTGTTGCTTACCAATAAGAGAAAGCATGAAGAGAAAGGTCAAACTGAAAGAAGTAGGCAAAAGAAGGGTAAGTTCCCAGCGACATATAAATGTTCTGTTGGTCTAGAGCCCAAAGAGACTAATATTCAAGAAGTGCTGGATATTTTAGCCACCAAACATCCCCTGTCCTTACAAGTCTTACTGGGTAAACAGGGTACTGAGTCCCAGATGATGGAGGCAAAGATGAAGGAAACAGAGCAGGGTTGCCCATCAAGAAACCCAGAAGATAAACGGACATGTTGTCAAACTGCCTTCTAAATACTACGGCTATGCATAGATTAGTGCTCTCTCACTTGGCCAGAGAGAGCCCCTGAGTGGTGTGTCACAGTGGACGTGGTGAGGATACGTGACTGTCGAATGCTCAACCCTAATGGGACAGCTACACCAACCCACTCCTCAGAGGCCAGGGAATGTCACAGAATAGGAGCAGAAAGAGCATCAGAGCTGGAAGGTCAGCTCAACTGCTGTGAAGCACTGTCTGCAGATAGGTCGTGTCTCTTCCCCTAATGAAATTGCTGCAGCTAGGGTTTCGTGCACAGTGCTCGTGCAGGGGAGGCCAATGAGGTTCTAGCAGGAAGCACTACTTAGACTCGGTGGATTACAACAAAATGTAAGGACATGAAGGTGAGAGAGGGGCAAGGAGGGATGTCCAAGGGGAGCGAGATGGGGAAGCCGGGGTTGGGTCTGTTGGAGACACAGGGGAAATACAGGAAATTGTCAAAGAAGAAGTAATAGGCTTTTGGGACGAAACCTAGCAGAATAATGAGCAGTTTCCTGGACTTGGTTTTGATAAGTTCGTCCTCCACAGAAAGAAGAATGGACTGACTTGACTGCGTGGCATGCTCGTTCCAGACCAAAGCATTTCCTGTCTCTTAGTGATGGAATCAGACAAACCCCAAATCATAGAGATACCAGCCAGTGTTTCTCAATCTTGGGACTATTGACATCTTAGATAAATAGTTATTTGTTGTTGGGGGCACAAATTCTAGGGCCTTACCCATGTACAATATAAATTGGGCCGATAGTTGAAAACAATTTCTTCTTTGATGTTCTTGCTTCTTTTTGTTGTTTTCCTGGGGGTTAGTGTGGCAGATGTGCACGCTTTATGTTGATAGATTGTTTTCCAAAATGCTGGCAATTTTGTCCATTTCCGCTAGAAGCATTTGAAAATCATCTTTCTTCTAGCTGTATTAATTTTGTTATGATTTCTTTCTGGTGGTGATGCGGTGATTTATTTATCTGTTTGTTTGTTTATCTATTTAGACAGCGTTTCTCTGTGCAACAGCCCTGGCTGTCCGGAAATCTGTAGACCAGGCTGGCCTCAAACTCACAGAGTTCTGCCTCTCGCCTGCCTCTGCCTCCTGAGTGCTGGGATTTAAGGCATGTGCCACCACTGTCCAGCCAGAAGTGATTTTTCATTGTGACATCTGTACACTGTCCCTGTAGTAATGAAGTTGAGAGTCCTACATAAAACAGCCCTTCGTGTGGATTCTTCTGATTAATAAATATGTATTTACATACAGAAAGAATTGTAAGAGTCTAAAATGGTCATGGGGAGATGGCTGGCTGCCCCTGAGAAAAACAAATGAAGTTAAAGCTCGAGTTCAAGGGCTTATTGCTGCAGAATTCTTTCTTGCGAGGGAATGGTCAGCATCATTGTTCTATCCAGTCTTCAACTTATTGTGTAAAGCCTGCTCACTACTATACAGGTAAACTTCACCTAAGGATCACAGAAACATCTCAGGAAGTATTTGACTATATATGGGCACGTTGGCCCAGTTAGGTTGCCTATTAATAACTTTTTATTGGGTGATCTATATCCTTTTATTCATTCCAAGCCAAGAATATTAGCCAAATCAGTGCGTTGCAAATATCTTCTCAAATTTCATATCGTTAATTTTATAACATGGTTTCTTTGATATAAATTTCCTTTGGGTGCTTGTTTGGTTTTTGAAACAGGATCTCACTGCGTTGCTCAGGCTGGCCTGGAAATCACTGTGTAGACCTGGTTGGCCTCAAACATGAGGTGTTTCTCCTGGCTCAACCTATCAAGTACTGGGACTGTAGGCCACTATGGTGAGCAGCATATAACCTTCCAAATTATTGATTTAATATTTTACGATAAATGAGTAACGGGCTCACTAAAACTTAGTTGAAATTACACAGGCCAAATTACACAGGCCATGTGGATGCCATCTATCTGATAACAACTTTGAGTTTCTAACCTTCTAAGTTGACCTCAGATGACTTTGTGGTGTTTATTGAAACCATTCCTGTGCTTTCAATGCTTAAACAGTTCTCGGAAGAAGAAACTTTCAGGAAAGGAACCCAGACCAACATCCCCATGTGTGAAAAGCACAGTTGAGAGGGGCTCCAAGTTCAGACTCATTCCAACACATGCTACATGCTATTATGCTTGATTCTTAAAACTAGTTGAACGCATTTCAGTGGGTCATGTTCTAAGGGCTTACATTATAAGGCATCAGTTTGTATACAGAAAATTTCATTCAAATTTGTTTAAAACATAGTCTAAGTCAATGGTTTTCAACCTTCTGGTTGCTGCAACCCTTTAATACAGTTCTTCATGTTGTGGCAACCCCCCAACCATAAAATAATTTTCGGTGCTATTTCATAACTAATTTTGCCACTGTATAAATCATAATGTAAATATATGTTTACATCAGTGATTTCCGACGGTCTTAGGGACCCCTGTGAAAAGGTTATTTGATCCCCTAAAAAGATTGTGGCCCACAGGTTGAGAAACACTTGTCTAAAGCAGTTTCACTAAACATATGTCAGCACTCTTCTTTAAGTTACTGTAGAAAAGCGTAGTTAATTTTTATTTTAATCGGACTGAAAATATGTATATGTATTGAGGAAAACGTTCTGTTAATTTTATGTAAAGGCTTCTCCATTTACTTTTATAATACTTATTATCATATCTAATATCATCAAGTTAGTATAGTTCTACATTTAATCATATTATTTTCATCAAGGACAAAAAAATACGTAACGTAAGTTTTATAGCCTTCGTCGGGCGGTGGTAGCGCAGGCCTTTAATCCCAGCCCTCGGGAGGTAGAGGCAGGCAGATCTCTGTGAGTTCGAGGTCAGCCTGGTCTAAAAGAGCAAGTTCCAGGACAGGCTCCAAAGCTACAGAGAAACCCTGTCTTGAAAATGCAATTATATTAAATGTTACTTTTCAATTAATTTATTCATCTTTGGTGCTAGATTTGTTTTTAAATGGAGGCTTTCATTTCTCATGTGTAGTTACTTCCTCCCTACTCCTCTTTCTATACCACTTTCTATATCATTGGCTCCTGAGTGCAAGTAAAATATTTTTAAAATTCATTTACCTTCTAAACATATAGATCCAGTTTTTAACTTGTATTTAGAAGACTGATTAACAGCATGATTAGGCAAGAGAATGAATCGTGTGAAGCTGGAACAATTTTATTGTTGGGCCCTGATAAATCTTTTTCTTAATGGGCAGTTCTGGTATGAAAGCATCTATAATGGGTGGCCTGCAGAGCCTTAGGACCTTAGACTTAGTTGCTAATTACTCATGTTCTTATATTACTTATAATAATATTTTAAAAGAACGTTCATATCTTTTTTTTTTTTTTTTCGAGACAGGGTTTCTCTGTGGCTTTGGAGCCTGTCCTGGAACTAGCTCTTGTAGACCAGGCTGGTCTCGAACTCACAGAGATCTGCCTGCCTCTGCCTCCCGAGTGCTAGGATTAAAGGCGTGTGCCACCATCGCCCGGCCGTTCACATCTTTTGAAATATGAGTAAATTGACTTTGAATTTAAACGTTGAAGCTGGGTGTGGTGGCACACGCCTTTAATCCCAATATCCTGGAATCAGAGGCAGACACATCATCGTGACTTTGAGGCCAGCCAGGTGTACATAGCAAGTTCCAGGCCAGCGGAGGCTATATAGTGAAAGACCATGTCGTGTAAAACCAAAATAAATAAATCCATGTTGAAAAGTCACCTAAAATCCATGTTGAAAAGTCACCTAAAATCAATCTGGGAAGTGAGAGCCACACAATAATCCTCCTCAAATAAGAACCTTTCTGTTTTGTCTTGAGGCAGGCCCCTCTGCTTAGCTCTGGAACTCGCTTTGTATGCCAGGCTGACCTCGAATTTACAGAGATCAACCTGCCTCTGCTTCCTAAATGCTGGGATTAAAAGTGTGCGCCTTTAATCTTTCTGTCTCTGTCTCTCCTTCTTACCTCCCTCCTCTCGCTTTCTCTCACCTTTCCCAAGAAAGAAGTTCCTAGCCTGTTGCTACAAGCTGCTACAATGTAGAGCTTGGTCCTACAGAACTACAATTCCCAGCATGCTGTGGACCTCCGCGGTTGCAGTGCACCCTGGGAAGGAAGTGTACTGCTCCTCCCCCCCCCCCCCCCCCCCCCCCCCCCCCCCCCCCCCCCCACTGGCTACGCGCGCATGTGCACTGAGACCACGCAGACCTCGCCGGGATTCTCCGGAACTCATTTTGTATCTTAGACGTAGTAACCGGCGGGATTAGAGAACAGTTCTACTTCCGGTGCCGCCGGAAGCAATTTCGCGATGGCAACTTCTGCGGACGAGCCTGGGAAAGCAGCTAGGAAAACTGACTCTCAAAAGCCGAAGCAGAAGCGCGAGAACCAAGGTGAGACAGAGTGAGAAGCGAAGCCTGGAGCTGGTGGATCTTAAAGCAGTCGTCTTTTGTTTTCTTAGCTGAGGACGTGGGTTTAACTCTTTTAGACTGAGGTACCCTCAGTTGGGATTGCTAATAATTGGGAGGTGTGGACTGCGCCGGCCACGTGTTTCTAACCCAGTGCTTTTAGGGGCACCCCTGACAAGGAGAGCTGATGTGCATTCTGTCTCCGGTAAAAACACGGGGGTTAGGAAATTGTGGAAGGTAGCCGGGCGGAGATGTCGCACGCTTTTTTCCCCCTGCACTCAGAAGGCAGAGGCAGACGGATCTCTATGAGTTCGAGGGCAGCCTGGTCTACAGAGTGAGTTCTAGGACAGCTAGAACTGTTACACAGAGAAACCCTGTTTCCAACAAACAAAAAGATCTAAAGAAATCGTGAAAAGCGAGGCAGTATTTTGTAGCGCTCTGCGCAGAGGCAATTAGGAGGATACGAATCGGGATCAGGTGGGATCGATAATCATATGTACAGTGAGCGCTGGTGACGGAGTGAGGAGCACGTTAAAAGGTGGGGGCTGAGCGAGCTGGGAAGTTTGTCAGAACTTTTATCTGATTGCTAAATTACTACAGGACACAGTTCAGTCTTTAGCTTTGACTGGTAGTTTGATTTTTGATGCCCGAGTGTGGTTCCTCTCTTGCGTTATTTTTTTTTAACCTATCTTCAATATGAAAATAAATCCTAAAGAAATGTATTTAGAAAGTTTTTTTTTTAATTGTTACGTTTTAAAACTAAGTACGTAAAGCACGGCAGGGACTATAGGCATCCGTAAAAGATGAAACCAACGCTTGAGGACCGACAGACTTTTAGGAAGAGTTCACGTTTTCCACGCGTCAGTCACAGGGGATATTTTCCTTCTTGGTACCCGGAGTAACTAGTCTGACTCGACCTTTCTACAGTCGTTATCGTTTTCAACACAGTGCTTTGGTTTTGCCTCAGCAGAATGAAAGGAAACTCGTATGCCTGCAGCAACTTAGCTTCTCCTTGGTTATTAACCAAGGTGATGTTTGCAGGTGTGATTTTTTTTTTGTTTTCTTTTTCGCTGTTGCATAATACTGCCTTATATGAAACACCTTTGGATTCTCCCGTTGATGGACATTTGGGTTCTGCCCACTCTTTGCTATTGTAAACACCTTTGTGCCTGTCATCTGGGAATGCCCAAGGATTTCTGTAAGGAACATAGGATTGGAAACTGAGTTGCAGGGTGTGTTCAGGTTATGCTAACACTGCTACAGGGAGCTGGGCCAGGTTTTTTCTTTAAGGGAAGGTTTATTTAGGCTCACTGTGAGGGTATAGTCAGCCATGGTGGAGAAGTGGTGCCAGTATGGCTCACTCACAGGTAAGATTTTGATGGCTGCAAATTTACAGTAATTTTATCATTTCAGTTTTGAAAATGCACTGTTTTGAAGGTAAGAGATTGTATCTGGTTGTTTTTAATCGGGCATCCCTGTTGAAGTCGCACCGTTTCACACGTTTTGGGGCTATTTGTGCTTCCTCTGTTGTGCAAACCTCATCTGTTTCTTTTGCCCTTCGGTGCTTTGGTGTGTGCCCATTTCCCCTGGACTGACTGGTAGCGTTTGGCGTGTTTAAATGGAACAGGGACACACGCATGCATTTTACCAGTTTTTGTAGCATTTTAGTTCACATTTTGAGAAAGAAGCTGCGGGAGAATGGATGGTTTGTGAGGGCTCGTTCTTAGGATTTCAAACGAAAAATAGCAAAGTGGGTGTGAGGAGAAACGCAGAAAGCAAATTTTCCTAACTGGGACTGATAATGTGGCCAAAGACTAGCTCTTCAGGCTCAGTGGTTTACAGAGTGCCAGATGAGATCGTTTAAGTAGAGGTTTCTGGCCCTCACCCAGAGGTTGTGATTACTGTGTCTCGAAGGAGCTCCAGATAGCACTTCCCATAAACTCACACACGTGTGCTGGTGCTGCAAGTTCACGCTGATGGTGTCTTTGAGTAGAGTCAGTGTGTAGCTATTAGATTTGAGCGTTTTTAAAGATCTGAGACAGGAAGCTCTAAGACATGCGGGACTCTCTGGAGGAGTTTTTATTTAGTTATTAGTGTGCTAGGCTATTTCAGCTTTTGGCCCTTTGGGTCTGGTAGTCATTTTGGATTGAATATCTTCATAAAGTAGAAATAATAATAGTGGTTCTTTTATTCATAAAATGTGTGTTGAAAGCTCTTTGGAAAACTTAAAATCCTATCACAGTGATTGTTAATTGATGGTATACACCAGAATCCACTTTTAAAACATTTACACACACACACACAATCTACATACACGGTTGCATGCAGATATTCTATACCAGGAAAGTCAGATTATTAAAATGATAGAGGGGTGTTTGAACCATAATCCAGTGCAGTAGAAGTGTCTTAATTGCTGTCTACCGATACATCCCAGTTAGAGTGGATACAAGAAAGGGTGCCCCTGTCCGTGAAGAATTTGTTCTGATGAAGCAACTGCAGTGTGTTCACATGGTCTGATATGGTATGATGATAATAAGATGATGATGGTAGAGTCGTGGTCATGATGTTGAATAACGTGAAAGCTGGAGGGGAGGAAATGGAGGAGTGTATCGGGGAGCTTATAAAGATGTGCACAGATTATGCACTCATTGTCTGAAGGACCATTATGATGTGGAATTCTTTCTTCTGCAGATGAGGCAGAACTCCTCACTGTCCCTGATGGTTGGAAGGAACCGGCTTTCTCCAAAGAGGACAATCCCAGAGGGCTCTTGGAGGAAAGCAGCTTTGCAACCTTGTTCCCGAAATACCGAGAGGCTTACCTGAAGGAGTGCTGGCCTCTGGTGCAGAAAGCCTTGAACGAGCATGTAAGCAGGCTTTAAACATTCTTTTGAGATTTTGGTCTTGCCTTTGCCTTTACTTTTTGGTTTTTCAAAACAGGGTTTCTCTGTGTAATACTTAGCCCTAGCTGTCCTGGAACTCGCTCTGTAGACTAGGCTGGCCTAGAACTCACAGAGACCTGCCTGCCTCTGTCTCTTGAGTGCTAGAATTAAAGGCATGCGCTACTACAGTTCAGCCTGTCTTTACTTTTTATGAAATTTGCATGTGCTGGTGGATTTTGGTTTCAGAGATGCTGACATATCTGGTTAGTTTGATTCTTTTTGTATTTAAAAGAACCAAGGTAAACTTTATTCTTAGAGTTTTTTTTTTTTTTTAAAAAAAACCTTTGTAACTTTCTTATTTTTATTTTATGTGCATTGGTGTTCTTTTGCCTGCTTGTATGTTGTATGAGGGTGTCATATCTTAGAGTTACAGACAGTTGGGAGCTATCATGTGGGTGCTGGGAATTGAGCCCTGGTCCACTAGAAGAACAACCAGTAGTCTTAACTACTGAGGCATCTCTCCAGCCACCTACAGTTCATTTTTAATTTTGTGCATAATAAAGTGAGAATTTCCTGTAAGTTTCATAATGTAGAGGTGTCTCAAACTGTCTGAAGTCACCTGTGACTTCTAGAATTCCAAATGCCTTTTTCAGGAGGTAATGGTTACCAGGTTGAGCCAGGCATGTGTCAAGTTTAATTTTAAACCAGAACTGCTGATACTCCAGTGTTTCCCTATTTTTTTCCTGCTGACCAATCTCTACAGTGGTGGCGTTGAGATAATCACTGCCGACCATGACTGAGGATTCCTCTGAATGTGTCACACGTCCGCAAAGAGCATTTTGCTTTGTTCTGTTCAACTGTAGTTCTTGGGGCTGCGGAGATGGCTCAGTTGGTAAAACGCTTGGCAGTCAAGCGCTAGGACCAGAAGAGTTCTATCCCCGGAACCCTTGTAAACAGCCAGGCAAGGAAACAGAACCCATGAGCAGCCATGCTAACTTAGCTGGGGAGCTCCAGGCAGGGCCTGGGGAGCAGCACAGGGAGTTGAGCTCTGGGCTCTACATGCCATGTATGTGAACGTGCACACTCCCTCTGCTCCTGCTCCCATGCGCACAGAGGAGATTATTTGCTGGACTTCTGGTTATTGCTGTTGAGGTCAGTGCTCTTCTTTACTGCTGCCTGCTTCTGTCACCCGTGATTTGCTTTGTATTTAGTCCCTTAATAATGTAGAAAGAAATGTGAAAGGAAAATCCTTTCTCAGTCTTGGTTCCAATTGCGTCGGTTTCTTATCTCTTGTCAAATATGAAATTAATCCAGACCTCATTATTTGTATTTAATTGCCCAGCGTCTTCCTAAGTGGAAGTTGAAAATGTATTAGTTAGCTCAAAGGCGGAGCGATTGGTAGGTGGGTGGGCGTGGCCCTATAACGATCTAAAAGCAAACCCTTTCTTCCTCGCAGCATGTTAAAGCAACGCTGGACTTGATTGAGGGTAGCATGACTGTGTGTACGACCAAGAAGACTTTTGACCCGTACATCATCGTCAGGGCCAGAGACCTAATAAAGCTCTTGGCGAGAAGTGTTTCCTTTGAACAGGTGTGTGTGTCTGGGACCCGGCCGGGGTGTGTGTACACAGCTAGCTTGGAGAGCTCCTGGCCAGTGAGAGGCTGCTTAAAAAATAAGGTGGGCGGTGCCTGGGAGGAAACTGGGGAGCTTGTTCAGCAGCCTGGAGTACTGTCTTTCTGCCTCTCTCGCCTTCCCTCAACTTTCATGTCTGTGCTTAGATTTTATTAGCCTGGGCTTATAAGAAGAATAAGAACAATGTTTACAAAGTT